AATGAAGAAGTGGAGAGAAATGTTATGAGGGAGAAGAGAAAAATACAGGCACCTTATGGGAGACATCAAATATATTGCTCAGTAGTAAAAAAGTTGAGAAATAAAATTAAATAAATGTAAGAAAAGACTCACAACTTTTGCTAAATTATAACACCTGCCTTCAGACATTCAGGACCCCCTGAGTTCCAATCACCATGCTGCAGGAATACTCTATTGCATGTCACATACACTCCTGGAAAATCAGAGTTTCTAGGTTCTATAGCAATGAAACACAGAAAGTTATTTAGCACCATAATCCATAGCAAAATCTTAGACTCAGAAATATCAAATTCCAGGATTAATTTCAGTTGATATGCTCAATTTGTAGCCACTGTAGGTGGGGCTATCTCTTCAATCTATGATTCCCAGCTTGATCTCAGTTCCTGCCACCTTCATCCTTTGACCCTTCAGTGTCATGATGGCATTAGATTCAGATTAGGACAACTGTAGAATGTTCTATCAGTGTATGTCCTAGAGTGGAAAGAATTTGACGAGTGAGAAGTGGTCAGAGGCTATTGTATTTTGCATGGGAGCACTCATATGTCCACCAATGGGTCTGAAGAAAAACAGCGGTCCAGATATTCCCACAGTTCCAGTTGAAGACCAAGAGGAAAAGTTCACCCTATCTTGAAACAGAAAGTGACTTTATGTTGTCTCCGTGATCATGTTCTTCTCCCTAATTAGCTCTATAACATCTTCCCATGGATAATGAAACATCTTCCTGGATCACACCACACAACATTAGCCTCCTGGAGACAACTGAAGTCATATATTTCTAAAATAGTTGAAAATCACCGCAGAGACTGGAACCCTGATGAACCAAGAGACTTCATTGATGCTTTCTTCACGGAAATGACCAAGGTGGGGAGGACAATGCATGTGTTTTCTTACAGAAAGGGTGGTGTCGAATAGATTCCAATTGATTGAGCAGCGGGCTAGCACAAAGGTAGGGTTTTAGCATAGCAGAGATTTATTCTCTCATAGTTCTAGATCATTCCTGTAATCCGGCCAGCCAGACAGCCAACTTTGGGAAACAATAGAAATGTCATTGCTTTGTGTCTCCCATCTCTTAGGAGACATTGATGTTTGTTGCTGTGGTTCCCTGCTCCACCTTCAGTGCTGAGATTATATCATCTCTTTCCTTTCTGATCCTTTTACATCTCATTTCTCCTGTTCTAACCATAGAGGTCCCTCTCATAAACATAACTCAGAATAACCTTTCCTCCTGAAATGGATCATATCCTGAAGATCTATTTTTGTACATTGAGTAGCATGTCATGGTGGCAAAGATGACTAGATGAACATCTCTGTAGATCATTCCTTAACCCAAATTTTGAAGTAAAACACAGGAGTAATGTTTTACAAGTACACAGTAATGTAACCTTGGTTTTTTGGGGGTTTTTAGAAATTAAAGGTTTGCCACCATTTGACTAGAGGTCCTGGAAATGCCCGATTCTTCCTTATTATTTCTTTCCTTGGTCCTTCTTATATGTGAAATATAAGTAGCAGTTAAATTTCAGAGCTTTATTTTTTTATAAGTTGGTCCAGGGCTGGTTACCCTCCCCAGCTCAAACCCCACTGAAACAGACAATCTTGAGCTAAGTAAGTGGTAGAGTTTAACTTTCATATAGAGCTGAGGCACATATGAACTCTATATGAACTTTCCAGGGAGTCTATCTGAACACTATTCAATAATAGACCAGCAAGAAGACACTGAGCAAACATATTAATAAATTTGGGTCAGTGTGACAATGTTATATGGCAGCAACAAGAAAATAAAGCAAAAATGTCTTCTGGCCAAGTTTCAAAACATTTCAGTTTGTCAAAGTGAATGACAAAGCAGCTCAGCTCATGAGTCAGAAGGTTATGGTGGAGTCTTTCACATCACTGTTCATTAGAAAACTGCAAGGAAGGAAGGAACTATGTGTTGGGTGTAACTCTAAGGAACTACCATCCCTCCTGTCAGCAAGATGCTCTCTTCCAATTTCTAAAAACTTCCCCAAACATTATCAGTGCAAGGAGCCAGTATTTAAAGCATGAAACTGTGGAGGAACATCTTGAATTCAAATCACACTGTAAAATGTAAAATTCTATTAATCCGAGTAGGCCTCTGGAAAATACATATCACTGATTCTGTCATAGAAGCTTCAACTCACTTAATTTTGGTCTCCTCCTCTGTCTGGGTCATACTGGTAAATGTGTGTGTGTGTGTGTGTGTGTGTGTGTGTGTGTGTGTGTGTGTGT